TACTACCCATATACATTTTACTTTAACTACCCTCTGGTTTTAGTCTGGTTACCCGCTAAGTAAGATGCAAGCTTTCCTGATTTGATATTGTTAGAGAGCAGGCCCTATCCAGTTTCACCCACAAATGACTTTCTTTTTTCTCACTGTCACTGAAGATCTGGTTGTTCCCTGAGAAACAGAAGACACATAGGTGATAAAGAATGCTTGTGAAGTTGTCACCATTCGTGTAACTTTGCATCCTGCACTGAGTGCCAATTCTTTTTCATACTTTAACCATCCACTTGTGGTTCACCCCTCCCCTGCCAAGCCAGCATCAGGCCTAATTCTTTAGAACAGTTAGGGATCTCTTCCGGGAGCTTCCACAGTGTGTAAGGCTTTTCAACAACTGCAGTGTCAGCCACCAACAGGAATATCAAGTGTTCTCACCATTGATAAGCGAATCCCTGTTCATCTTGGACTCTGCTCTGGATCTCCTCCGTGATGATAGAGGCAAATACTTTGCTTATATCTCCCTATTTTATTTCATTGAATGATATCTCAGATCAGATTCCATCAGGGAGGCCAGGCTGGAAAAACTGCTAACATTAATATCCTTCCACAGACCCCAGTGAGGAGACAGGATGGAACAGTAACATAGTTGATCACCATTTGGATGAGCTAGAAGTCATTAACTGCAGTCCTTCTGAAAAGATGAAGGTCTGCCAGGCCTTTCCATCTGCCCAGCCACCGAATCTTTAGGTCCACCAAGCTTTACCATTTGCCCTTCTAATCTACTCTCACAATCCTTGGACACTACCATCCAATTTACTGTTGTCCCCTAAGTTTCTGTTTAATCTTGCTATTTAACTATATTCTTAGAATTTTTAGACCTTTATATCTGCACTGAAACTGAACAAGACTCCTATGTAGAGGGTAAGCTTTTTGTGAGCAGGGACTTGCCTCACTGAGTTTTTATCCCCAGAATTTAACGCAGTGCATGGCACATACTCTTAATAAGTGGTTTATCATTTTTTCTTTCCATTCATTCATTCATTCATCCACCAAGTTGTTGGATCTTTCAGCAACTTTTTTATTGATATATGGATAAGGAAGCACCTTGTTAGAAGAAAGTGTTCAAAGCAGTGCTTTGATCTAATGAATCAAATGCTTTTTTATAATCAACATGAAAGCAGAATGGAATCCTAGATTTGCTGTATCTTTCTGTCAGTTGTATGATGATAAAGATATGGTCTCCTATGTAATACTGCTTGTGAAAGCCTGCCTTGCTCCCTTCTTATGCCCTCATCAAAGGGTACTCTTGATATCTGTCTATAGATTATCTTCATAAAAAGTTGGTGTACATATGAAAGAAGCCATATAAGACAGATATTTTCCATACCTTTGGTATTTTCCCCTTCATTTACTTCATGGTTCTGTCTTTCAATACTCGGACAATTTTGTCACCACGAGTAAAGATCTCCTCTATGTACACTTAGTCTAATCTAGATTCTTTTCTTTTGTTTTATTTAATATCATTTCAACCTCCTCTGTAAGGACATCCAGGACAGGAATATTAGAGTCTGAATGTGTTGATTCTTCTTCCTTTGATGGTGAAAAAAAATTTGTTACGAAAGTATAGATCTCTTTTTTTTCTTTTTTTTTTTTTGTTCTGTTTTTCATCTCTGAGTGCTCTTGGGATTATTTCCTTACTTGGGTCACCTTCAAAATTTTATTTAAATCCCGATTTTACCCTTAAATGTGTCTGTCTGATTGATGAGGTAAAACTGCTCATAATCTTCATCATCCTTTTCCGTTAAGATTTTGCAAACAGTTTTTTTTTATCATCCCCCTAAACCAGTGTTGTCTTTTACTCTCTTCACTTGGCAATAAGTCAAGTGTGTACTGACTCAGAAACCTTTTAGGCTGTTTTGTGGTTCCTTTGTTACGGTAATTGATTCCTATTGGAAAAATTTCTGAATAAAATTATTGTAGTTTGTGGGCTGTACTCTTTCTTCCATCTGTATCCTCTTTTTTTTTTCCTTTTTGGTCATCGATAATATATTATAATTATTTTAATTGTACACCATATCTTTTTTCACATTTTTATTGTAGCTTTGTACTAATTTTGTACTTGGGTCTTATAAGTCAGTGGTCTGACTGTACCCTGACAGATGATTCAGGAATGACTCCTGTTATCAGTAGTGAATCATTTCCTGTCTGTTAAAATATAATCAGTTTCATTTGTTGCAGTATTTTTTAGCTCACAATGTTCGATGCCTACCACTTTTGTTTTTCTGGAAGAAAGTATTCATGATACGTAGGCAAGGGTATCGGTGTAGTTTTTCTATTTTGGGCCTTTCTCATTCCTTTTCCTTGATTGATATTTTCCAATATGTCTTATCATCTTAACCAATTTCCACCTTGCTTTGAAGTCATCTAATAGCAAATGTAGATACGTATAATTTGGAGGATCTTGCTGTGTTCTTCGTAGAATTTTTTTTAAACCTTTTCAGCCTCTTGAATAAATAGATGTTGGTATATAAGCTGCAGTTATTTTCCTAGTGGTCTTATCATGACCTCTGCAATATAAGATGACTCCATTCTGGGAAGTGATGCTTCTTGTCTTTGAGAGGGCATAATATAAAGCCAACTTTACCCAATTCTTCCTTTGCCTTTGTCACTAGAATCTCAATCATCTGCTATTTCATTACTTCACCTTTCTGGTTCCATGTAGAGCAAGAATGTCAACACTGATGGGATTCAGTTCTTCTAGTAGTGTATTTACTCAGTGGTCATTGGATAAGACTTTTATTTTTAGATTACCAGGCAGCGTAACCGTCAAATGAGAGTTGTAGACAGTCATAAAGGGATTCTTAAACTTTTTTGTATCACTGACCACTTTGGCATTCAAGAAACGTCTGTAGACATTTCTTAGAATTTTTAAATTCATAAAATATATGAAGGAAACCAATTATAGTGAAAAGAGTTATCAATATGTTTAAAAAAAAACCCAGTCCATAGAATTCTAGTTAATAACTTCATGTCCAAAATCTTTGATTCATAACACTTTATGCCCCCTTTTCAGCCATGTTGCCACTGTCAGCAGAGAAGCTGTGTAAGACTGAGAGCCATTTTATATTTTTGTTTATTGGGTTGCCTTGGCCAAATGGCTAACTTTTTGGGGGTGATCTTCATCTTCATTTAGGCTGGTTCTTGGAAAGTAGATTCAGCCTCTTGCTGGTATCATACTCACAGCCTTTCCAGCATCATAAATCTTCCACAGCTGGTGCTCCATTGGCAAAGCTTTCAAGACCCCAAGTTCACCGCCATGCTACTCTGAAGCATCAGAATAGGGCTTTGTTGAGCACATTATTCTATACTGAGAATAAATTAGTTAGTACTAATCTAAGTAGTGTAAAAAAAAATAAAGATGACTAGTTAATAATGAATAAAGCCATCGCTCCAGTCTGGCTACTTAAAAGCAACGCAAAATTCAATGTCTGAAGGACTAAGTTTAATTACATTAAACCATATTTTCACCACATTATCGTCTTGGTTATTTATGCCTCAGGTTTAGTAAATTCTATAGAAATTGTTTCTCTTGTGTAGTTTGTTATGATGGAGAAGCCATTTAGTAAATTAGCAAATCAGAAGGTATTCATTGAATGTACACTATCTTCTGAGTGTTTGGCTAGCCATCAGAAGTTAAATGTCAGCCATGAAGACATTTCAGGTCTTGACTTGTTTCATAGCAATATGCCAAGTTCCATGATCTATTTCTTTCATCCCTCTATCTTAATTGGTTGTAAATGATAACTTCTCTATTAAAAAAATGCCTCAATACAAGGCTTTCCTCCCAAATACTGAAGTATTATTTGTATTCAAATATAGTCTGCTGTTATTTACTAGTTAATCTTGGGGTTTTGTAGCTAGTTAGCCATCAGTGCACCTGGGTAAGGCATTGATGGTTCAGTGAGTTTGGACAGCATTTCTTTCCCACCGTAGAAAAGGTATTGAAAATAATCAAGAGACAATGAACACATACACATCCTACAAGGGCTCAGAGTACAAGGTGAATCCAGAAGCATTGAGGATCAAAATATATGACCACATGTTAAAAAGCAGACAGGCAGGGAATTAAAAATATAGCCCCAAATGTTTAATGTTGCCTTTTAACTGTACTTAAATTCATATTCATATCCTGTCTGTCTGTCTAAAGTAGCCTGGGTTGATATAGTGATGGTATAAACATATCCACTTCCAGTGAGTGCTTCTGCAAATCCTATTTTGATAAGGTCTTAAATCTGTTGAGATCAGATCATAAAATTCCCTTGAAGTTTCAGCCACAGGTAAAAACATTACTTGACAATTTCTTTTAAAAAAATTTTTTTTTTATTTTTACACTCCAAGTGAATAACCCACATGGGTAATTTTCCCCCCAGAAACAAATATGGGTAGCATGTGGTGTGTTAATAGCAACATTTCAAGTGTAAATATTAAACTTGGTTAGTAAATTTTAATTTACCTTTTAGTAATTTTATGATTTACATGGAACTCTTTTTCCATATGCAGAAAGCTTAGAGATTTGGTGACAAATGTTCTGTAATAATGGTGACTGATAGGCAACAGAATGCTTTTTTAGTATGGAAGTACATCACATATTAAGTTCTTCATCAGTGGATATTGTTTCCTAGGTGATTTGTGGGTAGTGCATCACTGAAGGTCTTGCTAATGTGATTAATACCATTAAATCCCTTTTAGAATGCTTGTAGAGTATATGCAAATGCTCCCTTTAGAGGAGCCTTGTTTAGCCCATTTTGCACATTGTATAATGGAATCCCAAGTTGCCATTAATCTCACAAATTTGGGAGTGGGTCTTTGTAGGGGTTATGGTGTGACTGCTGTGGTTATTAGGTTTTTACTGAGGGTTTGCAAAGTTAACATTTGTGAATGAATAATACACAGAGCTATAGCACTCTGTAGGCTATACACTGTTATGTGATTTGTTGTTGTTTGCCCAGAAATCTATTCTTTGAAGACAACATCTGAATGGAAATGTGCTCTGGAAAAATCTCTTAATGATGCTGCAAAATTTCCTCTTCCAATGGAAGTGTTCAAGGTAAGCTGTTGATTCTTTTCGAGAATATAGGTTTGGACAGGAGACCAGAAACTCATGAATATGTGAATGTTTTCAAAGTCACACTGATCAAAATGTGTGTTGGTGTTCTAGCCAATCATTTCCCCCAGTTCTCCACTTTAGAAAGCTTCCTTTCTGGTGATGTTTCCATTTCAGGTATTTAAATATGAACTGTTTAGGTACAATCATATAATCGGAGTCAGTAAGCCTGGGTTCTAATCCCAGTTTTGTGACTTGTTCTCTGTGTGACTCTGGGCAAGTCTCTTACTATCCATAAGCCTCAATTTATTCATTTGTGTAAATGTAAAGGTTGTAACTCAGTGTTGATGGGACCTTTCCTGCTCTAAGTGTATGACCCTATAAAAAGGAAAAGGAATCAGTTTTGATATTTGAATTCTAGTGTTGACCCACTGCCCGTTCTAGGTTCCATTTTGATTCAGCAGACAATATGTTAAGCATATACTGTTCATGTACAAGGTGGCTTTATGTAACTTTTTCAGTTTTTCCCTGTGATTACCCATGAGATTAAAAGTATTGCTTATTTAACACAAGCATAAGTGGGTGTTAACATACCTATTTGTTATAATGAAAGGAAATTTGCAAAATTTCCACAACCTGAATGCCTGATATTCTTTTAAGTTTTATAAGAACTTGTAGGAATACACACACACACACACACACACACACACACACACATTATATATATCATATATATCATATACATAAATACATATAATCCTGGAGAAGAGACTATATGTATGGAATCCAAGAGTTGTAGGACAGAAAAGAGACAAATATTGTCACAACAGCTCTGGGAGGTAGATGCTCTTATTAATCCCCATTTTACAGATTAAGAAAGTGAAGCTAGGGAGGTTAAATGAATTGCCCAGGGTCACATAGCTAGTAAATGTCTGAGGCTGGATTTCAACTCAGGTCTTCCTGATATCAGGTGAAGTCCTTTATGCACTGTATTACCCACTGTAGGTGGCAGAGTCCAGTCTATATAGAAACAGCATAGTACAATAGAAAGAATACTGAATATATAATCTTAGGTCCTGAGTTCAAATTCTGCCTGTGATGCTTACTACCTCTGTGGCCTTGGTCGAGTCCTTTAATTTTCCTGGGCCTCAGTTTTCTTACCTGTAAAATGATCAAATGTTTGGGTCTAAACGAAAGGGTTGGACCAAATGTCCTTAGAAGTCCCTTCCAGATCTGGGTCTGTGGTCCTATGAATCATTGAAGTTTTTCCATTTAGTTACTAGTCAGTCTAATGTAAGTTCATTTTCTGGACTAGAATAGCATAATTGTGTTTTATGGTGGTTTTAAAAAGTAATGAAAATATTATTAATTTTTTAAGCCCCTTGAAGGTAGGTACTGTATTCAGAGAGCCTTGTGCATAGTAGTTATGTAATAAATGTTTATTTGTTGAAGAAGGGGTTAAGTAGTGGTCTGGGTGTTTGTTTTCTGAGTCTTTACTGATTGAGTTTTTTGGCAGATTAGAAAAAAATGACTCATCTTTCTGTTTTATAATTTCCCTGTCTACAAAAATGGGGCTGAAAAGACTCGTCTCTTAATTTACGATATAGATATATGTCTTGAGGATGAACTGGTTGACATGTTTACAACATTTTAAGCTGCTTGACTGAAGACGTTGTTGCACCGGTAGCAGTAATTGCTGACAAATCAGGGCTGCCTAAACCTTTTTTTCTGACTGATCCTGTTAATGAAACAACGTATAATCTCTTCAGATAATGTAACACATAATCCTTGGTGTTTTCCTGAGGTAATACTGAAAAATGAAGCCATATATAAACCTCTATCACTTTCTCATTCAATTTTTAGTGACTTTTGTATCTTGAGTTAATATAAGGGCATAATTAGAGGTTGATTATTTAGGAGTACATTTGAAAAAGCACATAAGCTTAAAGAAATGAATAAACCTACCAGTAGTGTTGTTATTGTTGTTGTTGTTTTCTTGCTTTAATTTAAAAAAAAAAAGTCATGATTCATATTTTGGTAGCTTCTTTACATTTTCTAAAATATAATCTTTTCTTTCTTTTGACTTCTGCTTAGACTTAGGAAGTCATTTTCATGACGTACCTGAGAATTTATCTCTGATGAGTTTTCTTCTACCTAGTCTTTTCTCCTTTGATTAAAATCTCTTTGAGGGCAAAAACCACATAATATGCCATTTCTATACCTCTTAGAATGTCTGTCTAACCCACTATTGGGCATATAGGAGATGCCCATGAAATACATGTTTTCATGCATTCTCATTGTGGATAGATTTATTGCTCCATTGAATAAAATAGAAAAGAAATATTGACACAAATTCTCTTAATCTTACATTTTAATTAATGCTATAATTTCACATCTTAAAATCTAATTTGGCCCATAATTACAACCTTTTTTCTTTTTTAATATCAACTTCTATTTGGCCTACTTTATGAAGTTACCACCTCATAATGTGGAACCATTTCAAATTAGTGAATAGAAGAAATCCTAAAAGTCTTCAATGTCTCATACATTGGATTAACAGTCTCAGGCTATTTGTGGATTCGTTTTTTTACTGGTTATTGGTCAAAAATTTCATGCCCATCATGGGCAGCAGCCTCCAATACTCAGTAGCAGTGTGACCGTGGACAAGTAATTTAACCCTGATTGTCCCCCCTCAAAAAAAAATTTTCATTTTCATGCCCATCATTTAAACTTATACAGATGGGTTTGTTACATTTTTTGTCTTTGTGTCTCCAGCACTGTCCTTGGAACATGGGAGGCAGTTAATAAATGCATGTTGATGGATGGAATTTTTGAAAACTGTCCTATTTTATAGGAGAATATGAAAAATTTGAAACATGTAGTCAAATTCTGTTGTAGGTAGTTACCTTCATGTGAAGGTAATTAAGCCTAAAGAAATTATATGGGTATGGTATCACACTGGTGGTCACAATTTAAAAAAAAAAAAAGGAATGAAAAAAATCTGTTTTGTTTTTCTTAAGTTTTGGAAGTTTCAGCATGCAAATATGTTCCTGCAGAGTCCAAAAATAGACTCTGTATTTTCCCCGTTATCACTGTTTGATCATCACTGTTTCCCAGCAGGCAAACTTATTTCTAGTTATTTTCATTGTGGTGCAAGGAATATATGTTTGGATTCGGCAATGAATCATCCTAGATGCATGTTGTGGTGGGAAATTGTTATAATGTTCAGCTGTTATGAGACACAAGTCAAAGCTAAGCAATTTAATGGACTGAGATGAACAATATTTCAAGACCATACTTTTTACACGTCAAATAAATGGGTGTTTTGATGGGATGAACCACATTAGCCAACAAAAGTTTTCAGCATATAGCATGTGTGTACACATGTATATATTATATATATATATGTATGTATATGTATATGTATAATGCTATGTATATGTGTATATATAATGCTTCCAGGCTCAGGCTCACCTTTAACTAGTGTGTGTTACCAGTGGGGTTATTAAGTCAGTTAGGAGAGATAGAGCCCATCCCTCATTCCTACCAACACTACCATTAACTCTTTTAATGAAGAGCTTTCCTTCCCTCCCTCCTTTCCTTCCCTTCCTTCCTTCCTTTCTTCCCTCCCTCCTTCCCTCCTTCCTTCTGTCCTTCCTAATTTAGCTGCTAAAAGGACTAAATGCCCTAACTAAAGTTGGCATTTTCACTGTCAACTAAACAGTAGCACAGATTTGCCTCTGTTATGACCACCATTGTGGTAAAAAGAAAAAGATGGAACATCCAGGTACATTTATTCCCCATTTCCTGAATAAAATTGGGGGTAGGAGGGAATGAGAAGGCTGTCTCTCTGTGTATCCAAAACTATCAAAGCAGCTTGTGTTTTTGCAGGGAGAATGTGTTGCCTTTCTTTCACTGTAACTTTTGGTAAAGTATGTCTTTAATGAACCATCCATGCATTAATTGGCTCTGAGCTTCTCATTAATAGGCCTTAGTTTCCTCATCTGCAAAATGAGGGAATTGGATTAGGTTATTACTAAGGTCCGTTCTAGCTCAAATGGTCTATGGGGTATACTAATACTGGTCTACCAGCAGGTGGCTGCTTTAAAAGTCAGGTTGGTGTTTCGTTGAGTCTTGAATAAATTGTCTAGAGCAGAGTAGATTTATCTGAGACTGAGCCAGCTTTGTGATCATCAGAGCTCAGAAAAGGCAGACCATTGATTGAGAATGATGTGAAAATATCTGGCGGCCAAGATGACCAAATTAATTTCACACTGTGCCCCACTGTGGAGCCACCAGCATTTGATTAACTATCACATAAGCATTCGTTAAATATCCAGTCTTTATGAGTGAAGCCTGGGTTCTCATTAGTGAACTGTGCTCTCCCATCAACCATTGTGAAGTACCTCAATGTCAAAAAAGCTCGGGTATGTTTAGACATACATGTAGAACCTGTCATACATGGAGACTAGCTAGCTTTCTATTTATTATGTCATTGCCTTTGTAAAATAAGGCTCTTAGCTGACTCGTCATTTGGGGAGCTAGAATTATCTGAATGATTATTTCAGTTCTATATCTAATTTACTTGGGGTGTATAGATACAAATGTGTTTGAAAATATGTATATTTCTAGAAAGGTTTTTAAGAGGGAACAATATGTGTAGGGGGGAAGAAAAATTCATATATTGAAAATTAATGGAATATCTTTCCTGAGATCTTCATGGATCCATGCTGTTTATTATAATTTATATTACTTTTTATTCTTTGTAATTTTTGTAACTTGTAATCCATACTCCACCCTACTTGCTTGTAAATTTTAAATTATAGCAGCTTCACTGGCAGCTAATGTATCTATCAAATAGATGTTCTGCAGATGAAGAAAAGTATTCCCAATTTGCCATTTATTGGCAAACTATTTCTGTCTTCCAAGGAAATGCAAATTTCTGAAGTTGGTGGGGGGTGGGGTAGGGTGGGGAGAGGGAGGATTTGTCAAACCACTCTCAC